ACAAGTATTTGAGTCACGTATGTGTGTGAGTTTTTCTAGGTGATTTATTTGGGTTTTTTGTTCTTGTTTTTCTTTCTGGCAGAACCAGGGATTGAACTCAAGCCAATGCACTTGCCAGGGAAGTGCTTATTCTATTGAGCCATCTCCCCAGCCCTCATTTCCTGTTTTAAGAGGAAAAAATAGCAATGAAACAGTTTCAAATGTTTTAAGCAAACATTTGTGCTACAATCTCTAAGTCAAAGAAATCTAACAGTGCCACCCTCCTCAGAGCACCCTAGGTGTCCCCTTCTGGTCATACCTCTTTCCCTCCTGTGAGTGGGAGGAGAGCCATGGCCTTTACTTGCATGGCAACACGTCCTTGCTTGCATTTGTAGTCTCGTCACCTACTTACATATTTCAAAAATGTCATTTCATTTTGTTTTCAAGAGCATTGTTTATAAGACCCATGAGTGTTGTGCAGAGTTACATTGTATTAGTAATAGTATTCTACTCTATGGTTGTATCACCACTTTCATCCATTCTGTGACAATGGACACCTGAAATATTTATAGGTTCAGGCATTAGGGACAATGCCAAGATGAGCAGTAGGTTACATGTATTTGAACCACATACATGCATGAGTTTCTCTAAGTAATTTATTTATTTGGTTTTTTTGGTTGTTGTTGTTCTTGGTTTGTTTTCTGTTTTAAGAGGAAAAAATAGCAAGGAAACAGTTTCAAAACAGGACAAGTAGAAGAGTAACAATAGCTAATATATTGTGTATTGTTATATTCATAGTAGTTGTTCCGGGTACAAGATATAGGCATAAGATACTGTCCAAACAATGACCACAGACTTCTCTTTTATTTTAATTTCTTTCTTTTTTGGGGGGGGTACCAGGGATTTATTTAACTCAGAACCCTGCACTTGGCAGGCATGCACTTATTCTACTGAGCTATCTTCCCAGCCCCCAGACCTCTCTTTTCAATGGGCTAAGAGATACTAGCTATATAACTGTTTTAATTATCTTGTGTGTGCATACATATATTTCTCCTTTTTGCTTCCTTTCTTTCCCCATTCTCCTCTGAGTGACAGGCTTTATATAGCTCCTCCTTTTCCAGATACTATAAAAGTATTTTCCAGTATGATTTTTGCCATCACCAAAAGTTTGAAGGACCTAAAGACCTACTTTTGTCAGACTTCTTAACTTTTGCTAGCCTAATGATATATAGAAAGATCTCCTTGTAGTTTTAATTTGCATGTTGCTGGTGACAAAGTTATGTGACTCTTCCTGTGTTCATGTGTGTGTGTGTATGTGTGTGGGGGTGTATGTGTGTGTTAGATGCATGTTTTTGCTTATGCTTTTACTAGATAGCCTATCCTTTATAATATTTCATTTAATTCATGGGAAAATCTGAATGGTGAATGATCAGGGTTGGAGGTTATGTGGCCAGAAGGCACTTATAGCAATCTAGAATTTTTCACAAAATGCTTTTACATAATAAGCTGGGACAAATTACCTATCAGATAAATTGAGCCTGAGCATCAGTCACTAAACTATTTGCTGCCGGTCATTTGCTGGTGGACTCAGATCAATGGGTAGAGCTAGCATCAATGGTTAGGGTTTCCCAGACCTTACCACCTGCAGGACACTGGGCTGAACACTTCATGTGGACCCTTTTATTTATTTTTCTCACTAATGCTATGTAGAACACAGTGTTCATCTTAAAAGTCTAAATTATTTGACTGTTAGGACTAAGCTACAGCAGAAATGAGACCGCAGTGGATTTCTCATTTAACTCCAGAGCCCACACTCTTACTCTAATGATTGTATTGCCTTAAAACAAAATCTGTGATTATTTTTGTGTACTATGGAAATGGTAATCACTAGTTCTAAAAGACAAGAAAAATTGGCTTAGACATGGCAAAAGTCACAGTCCCTAAAAATGTAACACAAGGTGTTGTGGAGGCTAGTAACAAAAAGAAAATGAGATTGAATGAAGTTTTGCAGTGTACTGCACCTAGGTTTACATCACAGTCGATATGTGAACGGACTCACTATTGTATCAATAAACAAGTTATTGTCTTGAATGGACAGAAGAAGGCACTCATAGACAGATTTGACTTTAGGTTAGGATGATAAGCAACGGTGGCAAACCTTACCAATCAGTAGCAGCTGCTAACTCTTGCAGCAAAGAATGAAGACAATCTAAAGCACTGCGTTAGGTTCCAAAGGGAATTTTATAGTCTTTAGTAGTACAAAACACCAAAAATAAGTTCAGGTGAACTGGGTTTTGGAGTGCTAGAGTCTCCTTTTGGAGGTGGTTCTATGTTCTTTGTTCTTTGAACAAAGAATCAGTCAGGAAAACACCATAACAGTAAGGTTTTATACATTTTTTAACTATTTATTTATGTATTTATGTATTTATTTGGTATGGGGTCTCGCTACACAGTGGGGACTCCAGTGATCTTACTGTCTCAACCTCCCCAGAACTGGCCACCATGCTTGGTTTCTGTGGCCGGTACAGCTCGCCCGTGGTTTCAGGGCTAACACAGCATGTGGTACAGGTGCTTAGACCACTACACTGTCTCCCCAGCCCTATACTTATTAGAGGTTAGGAAAGAAGCAGGCCGCCCTGCAGAGTGAGTTTGGGTCAAGTAAAAGCAGTATAATAAGGACACTGTACAGGCTGTGAGAGAACTTGTAGCATTTTTTTTTTTTTCTTCTTCTGTTTTTAGGACAAGGCTTACAGGGTCTACAAGGTCTCACTACATAGATCAGACTCCTAGTGATTCTCCTGTTTTCAGCCTCCCAAGCACCCGGATTACAGCATGCACCACCACACCCAGTCTTAATTGTCATCTCAGCATGCCTGGGCCGTGGCGGGGATGGGTGGGGGGGG